TATAACTAATTTAAATTAAATAGAAGAATTTCAAGAATTTTCATTCTCAAACCTTATTTAGTTTGCATTCTCCTAAGAAATTCATTAATATAATTTTAATTAGATTCAGGTTAATTCTTAGTCACATTAAAAATAAGTAAAATAAACAACATTGAAAATTGATTTATTCAATCCGAAGGTTGTTTACCATGATCTGATATTTGGACTGTGTTACAATTCTTCTCTTAAGTGCTTTAGGATGCTCATTCTCTTAATTATAAACATTTAAAGGCAGTTTTCAAATAACAATTACGTTATATGAAATAAATAAACAATCACCCATCATCATTATCCATTGCTGTTCATATCATCAATTCGAATTTTTAACACGTTCAATTTCAATATAAGTTCACTTTAAATGATTTTCAAAGTTAGGAATCAAACTGAGATATTATAATTTCAATATCTGTATATTCATACATTTTTAATGCTGCTAATTATAACTAGCTAGTCAAATGTACTACTGATAATTGCAAATTCTAATGGAATCTCTATTTAATTTGAATCTAATTAAATCTTTTATTACAGTTCCCTGAGAATATTGATTTTTCCTTTAATTTTGCAAAAGTGCAGGTTTGAATTTATCCTCATATTTCTATTCTCTTCCTGTTTGCGATAAGATAGTGGACATTTATTCATATTTGTAATCCTTTCAATTCCTTGTAGAAGGTGACTATTATTGTAGGCTATGCCCAAAATATATAGGACTGTATATTTATTGCCATTAATTCATTAGACACTTTATGCAAGCAAATCTTTAAATTCTTAATCGAATTAATTATTTAAATTTGGCATAAAACATTAATTTAATATTGGGTAAGCAAACTAAATCTTAACTGAAAATATTGGTTTAAAATTTAAGGTTGATTTATTATGAATGAAAAAAAAATATTTATTCTCTTATAATATATCCTTTTTTTTTGGAAGAAAGAATTCTTAAGACTCATAATGAAGAGATAAATTGTGCAATAAATACCTATAAGAAAAAAAAAATTTAATGCTAAAAATAATTATCTCAACTCCTTTAAAATTAAGGAGAACAAGGTAAAATCCTCAAGCCATTTATTTATGGATTATTGGTGTAATTGAAAATATTGTACTAATCTAACCATGAGAGCTGTATTTCTCTCTTTATTCGACTCTGCTATCAATTTTCCTGAAAGATTATGCATTCATCTTGAGAGGAAATTGAACCTCAACTTAATCAAAGAATTGATTAGAACATATCAACCAATAAAAAATGATCTATGAAATTGTTTGATAAAATTAAGGTACTTTCATTATGTTTGTGATAGTTTTCGAACTAGTCATTCGAAACTCAATAAAAGCCTAATTCATTGTTGCTTTATTTATTGCTATGATTATTTTTTAAGACACAAAAAGTATTTGAATAATTTTGGAATAAATTGTAAATTAAGAGATTATAATCAGTTGCTTAATCATTAGTCTTATAAATGTGATAATCCAATTTGTGTTTAATCAATTTGAGTTGAGCTTAAAATAAAGTACGCCTTCTTACCTCTCTTGTAATCAAAATCAAATTAGATTGTGTTTAAGCTCTACAGTCTAAACTTTATTATCAAGCATGTTAGGTGTTTATTCATTTATTCTGGTTTATCATCCTCCTTATTCATTAGTTCTAGTAATCCATCATTATCCTATAACAGCAATCAGTAATTGGGTTTACTTAAACTATAAGAGCCCTCATGCTCTTGGGTAAATATTTTGAGTTCTGTGGGTAATTTTTCAAGAACAGAAGAGGAAAATGATTATAATTTTCAAAGCGAAGATGTAATAGTTAAGATCTTACCTAATTGAGCAACATTTACAGCCTTTGATATTTTAACTATTTTAATCTAAAGTTGCTCTAAAATTGTAATTTCCTCCTTCCTCATAAGAGAGTGCTATACCTCGATATTTAGTACGAATTATTAGTATCTAGCAACTTATTTACTAGTGATTAAGGTCATCAAGGAAGCACTAACTAAGCTTGTACATCTAATGCTCTTAAAAAGAGATTAAAAAGTGAAGAACTAGATGTCAGAAATTTGTGGAATATGAATTGATGTCTAGAAGACATTAATGTGATAATTAGAAAGGAGATCAATATTCAAAGATCATATGCCAACACTGACATAAAAGGAGTTGATGGATTAGATTAGATCACTTTATGCTTGATATTGGACTAAGTGCAAACTTTTAGGAAAATCTATCAAATGAAGAATCAAATAGAATAAATTGGAATCTAAAAGTTGTTGCGAACCTAAAGGGTTGGTTGTTTAAGTGTTTAATGAGGGTGATAGAGAACTAGAATGTAGTTGTAAATTGATTAAACCAGGGTGAAATTAAGAAGAAGGTACAATGTGGGAATGATGTTTGAAAATGCATACATAGTTCAAAGAAAGAAAAAGGATACCAAATGTTAAAATTTCTAGAAAATTACAAATATAGACACTTCCCAATCTAATTAAATAAATTAATAGCAGAGAGTGGCTACAAATTCTCAAAAAGATGATCAATTTCTTAATTAGGCTACTTTTCTTGATTCACTTTATAAATACATCCATATGTCTTATTTAAATACAATAGATCAATCAAAATAATCAATAACTTAAATTTAATTCTATCAAATTAGAAATTGAAGTACAACTTGGTAGCAATAATTTTTGGAACATATGGTTAAGCAAAAAAAGAAACACATAACATTTCGTTAACGATTTGCCAATTTATTAGCAAAAAAAAAGTAGGCTGCTATCGAAATTATTTAATAATAAAAACTGGATATGTAAAACCGAAGATGCATTCATAATTGTAAGCGATTTAGAGAGGAAATTAAGAAAAATTATATAAAGAATAGGAAAAAATACTAAGGGATTTATTTGAACATGAAGTTAAACCTCATTCATATAAGGCTAAGTTTAAAAGACGGATAAAGGACAGACATCCTACTTTTAAAAGAGGAAAAAGAAAGAAAGAAATGGTTGGATAGTTCCATCCTCTAAATATATACTTAATTTGCTATCTCCACTGAGAAACAGATATTAAATTTTATTCATAAATAAGTATAAAGCTAAGAAAGAAATAAAATGATCTATGTTGTTTCTTAAACACATAACAAGTTTGGAGTTTCTATTTGATTAACCTAATACATAGAACTATTTTTCTATATAAATAAATGAAAATCTAGCAACTTGATATCATCATTATGTGTGTTGTTTTCACATAAGATTTTATCTTTGCTAATTTATGGATTTATTGTTATTAATATCATTATATATAAGAATATTGGATTAAGGCGTTATGATGAAAATTCTTAATAGGGTTAAATTAGTCCAGGTATTCTGAATATTTTTTGTAACAGTTGGAGAGAAATGTCGAGTAAAGGTCAATTAGGTAATTATTTTATAAGTTGTAGCAAGTATTTAGTCTAAAAATAATGAAGTTTGATATAGAAAACCAAATTAGTAAAAAATAAGGAGGATATCAATTTGAAAGTGATTTTTATTTGAAATAATTAAATTGAGAGCTTATTTGAGTATGTTAACATATATACTTTTATGATAAAACTGGATGATTTTAAAAGTGAAAGTTTGTATGGATTTATACTTAATTCAGGTAATTAATTAAAATAAATTATAATCTGCTAGATTCATGTCATCATAATTAGAATTATAAATAAACTTTAATTACTTGAAATGTCATTTTTTATCTTAAAATTTAATTTTATATTTTAATAAATGGATTATATAAACATTTATTAGAATTTATAAAGAAAAGTTAAAGGTAATTACTTTCAATCTAAATTTTCAAACAATTCCTCATCGTTCATAAGATGTAAGGCAAAATTAAGTATGTCAAGAATTTATATTCTAAATATAATTAACAATTAAGACTATTTGGATGAATAATTAAGATAAAGTCATTTTTATTCAGAACTGTACAACAAATTGTATAAAATTAGAATGATAATAGAGCAAATAGAGATAATTGCATTGTTTGTATGAAGGTAATAACTTTATTTTAGAATCAATAATTTTTTGTCCTATGTACAGCTGCCTTCATTTTAAACGCAAGTCCTGCCAATATTAATAAAGTCACTTACTTCAATTGTATGTAAGGTATTCTCTCTCTCAAACTGAAAAAATAGTCAAGAAAACTGATGAAGAATTGAATGTGGCAATTAAATAAATACACTATTGAAAATAGCATAAAAACTAAAACATTATGATATAAGTAGTATTTATTTTCAATTATTAATTGGTCTACACTAAGATTATAATTTTAAGCATTAGCAGCTTTAATCTTTAAAGCGTTATTGAGTGTAAATCCAATTATCAATTGTGCCTTCAATTAAATAACAGAACTGGAGAAAATTTTGAAAGAAACAAGTTACACTCCTTACCCCCATTCTGAGGCTTTTCGAGAAAATGATAAGCATGAAAGTAAGAATCTATCTCCGTGAGATAGTTTTTATATGCATATTGAATCACTCCAAAAAATGTGTGTCAAAGTAATTTATCAAGCCTATTTTCTAAATATTTAGAGATACATTATCATTATTTATTGGTACTAAAGACAGTTAAGTTGATAAATTTAGGAATATATAAATATTCATAAGGTTTTGATTTATAAGTTAATTTACACACATTCAATCATAATCCATCTATTGAAATGCAATTATATCGATTGAAACTAATATAAAAAATAACATTGCTATCATATAAAATAGGCAATTTTAATTTTAGTTATAACAATAACTGATTTAACTGAAATTTTAAAAGTTTTTTCGTTAATCCCTATTGGAGTAAAGGCTATTATCGGTTACATTATTAAAATTTCTTAATTTTATAATTATAAATTTATCATGGATCACCTTAAAAACTGTATATTTTTATTTGAAGTTATTAAATGTCTTCAATTTTTGAAAATCATTTAAGATTATTATAATCTAAATTTTGAGAACTATCTAAATTTGCTGAAAAGGGTTTCAAAAATTTAAGACTTGTCGGATAAAAAAGAACAGAAAAATACAATGGAGAGCTTTATGGTATCTTTAAAGATTATATAATCCATATTAATTACCATGAAGTTTGAAATTTAATCTAGACACAATTGAGATAAATATGTATTTTCAAAGAAATTATAACTGATAAATCTCACATTCTTATATTTCTGGTTTATTATCCAAATATGGAAAATCAATTCCATTTTGTATTAATCAAATTAATCTGAATCACCTAAACGAGAATAACCATCTGTAAAATCACTACTTATATAAATATCGTTACCACCTTCAAATCTAGGTCCACAACCTGAATAACAACAATAGCATAGAATTTATGATCTAGCTTAAAAGGATAAACATAATCATGAGTTTATGAAAATATAAAAGATGATAATGTATTATCTTCTACATATCTTCGACACATGATTCCCATTTAGAAGGTGAATATGCTCCAAAGATTAATGAGTTTTTGATTAAATTACCATAAGTAAGTTAGCTTTACCATTCACTTTATTCCAATATTATTAATTATTTAATCCATCTTTTATGCCCTAATAAATCAAAACTGATTATTCCTTTTTTTTTTAGTCTTCTCTTGTAAAATATATCATATTTTTTATCCAATAATCATCCTTAAGTAATTTTGGTTTTATACCTACATTTTATTTTATGTATTTTTACCTACAAGCTCACAGCAAAATTTATTAATGTAATAATTCTGTGAGAATTATGATATGGATCTTCCAATACTACCAATACTGGCTAATTTAATTGAAACACATTTAATTACGAAAAATTATCTCATGGGAAATACTGTATTCTGAAGTTTTAATTTATAAAAAATCCTCTCACTTATTAAAGCCTAAACTTCAAATTGACTTCCTCACGTTCTTTATTTGTTATTTCCAAATATTGATCTGATTATCAAGAAAAAATGACTTTATTCATCATTTTATTATAAAACTCAATCATCATCAAATTAGGGATGTAATTTTAATTCATTCGTTATTCATTATTAATTCAAATATTTTATAGTTCTTTTTTATCCGAAATTATCAAATTTGGATAAATCGAATATATGTTTTTTCAATTATTTTTTAATGATTTTCATGAAAATTCTAGGTATAATTTTCACTATTCTAATGTATTATTAATTAAAAGGGATTTTAATTGCAACTGATTTTTAACTAATTTCCTTATTAGATGATGAGATTTTATTTATCAATTAATATTTTTAATACTCATATTTTCCTTACTACATGTTAAATTCCGATTAGCCCTTTAATTTGTCTATTACTGTTTTCGGGAAATACCCTTTAAGTCCATCTTTGCTTTAAATGAGCTTCTCTTAAGTGTTAACCATTTACTATTTGACTCTTTTTTTATGACCATATCACTAGATTGTTATATCTTGCGATATATGATCTATTATTTTGTTAACCTTCTAAATGGGATAATTTTCTAATCATAGAGAGTTATCTTGCCCTCATCATAATTGTTTTCCTCATGCATCTATATTATTCTGTTATGTTTCCTTAGTTGATTCATCCTCCTAAGTATCTTTCTACTCTGTTAATTCTCTACCCTTCCAAATGTTAGTTGGTTCTATTCACTAAGTATTTTTTTTCTTAAGGTTTATGATGGGATTCTTTTTGGCATGTACCAATAAATTAACGAGCACGTAACTCAATTATGATTTAATTATTTACTATCGCTAGATCATCTGCATACAATAATATTTTTGACTTCTTCTAAGCATTTTATTTGATCAGTGTGCATCTTTTGTTTAGTTTTTTTCCTTATATCTTCTAACTTTATCCTAAACGTATGAATTATAATAACAAAAAAGATATCGAACAGGGATGGGTTCAAGAATTATTCTTGGCTAGTCCATTTTAAATCTTTTGCTGTCATTTTTCATCGGGTTGAATATAGATAGTTAGCCATATAGATTAAACTAGTAATTTAATTATTTCATTCAAAGCTTATCTACCCATTCTATTTTATACATTCGAGAGATCAAAAATTCTTAAAAAAATTTTTGTAATCTTTCTTTGTCAATTCTAAAAGAAGCTAAGGCAATTAGACTTAAGTTCCTATATGTTATTATTATTTCAGATCCTTTCCATATAAATTTTCTTGAGTTAACTACCTAACTCCGCTCTATCAATATCAACAGGTGGTTCTAAATCATTTAGGGTCTCATAACTCTCATTGCTAGGATGTTAGGTGTATTTTTTTTTCAAGAAATCAGTCTCTATGCCTAGTGTATTGATTCAATTTTTTCCATTTATCAATATATAACAAGTAAATAGCAAATGAATTATACAAAAATTATTCTATTTTTTCGTTACAAGATCTCTTCTAGTATTCTTATTATAATAACACTCTTTCTATTTCCTTATCTTTTTCCATACTTATAAGATTCTTCGTTATATTCTTATCCTTTGGGTAGGATATTTATTATACATTCAGTATGTTTAAATTTAAACTGTTTGTTGGATGAATGTGAAATTTCTTCTTTATTTAACTTTCCTTATTTGAATATTTTTTGTTTTCAAAGTTTTTGTCCTATTTCACGTATTTTGATTCATAAATTTACTAGATCTCTCTCAGCTTTGGTGTTAGGTGGTTGCCTTTAGTAGATATGTGATTTTAATAGTTCCAATATTCTTCGATAGTACCCACTTTTTCTCATTTCTGTTACATAATCAATATAAACTAGCATCTGATAAGGGATATGTGATTGAGTCGTTACTCTTAATGGTACTCTCGATCTTTAGAGGTTTATGATCAGACAAAAGGTTTCAAATAAGAATTGATGTTATTTCTGATGCCCTTATAAATATAAAATCAAATTTTACACCAAATTCAACTAATTTTATTCTCTAACATAATTCCATCCAATTATTTATTAGAAAACCAAACTCTTCTATTAAATAGAATTTTAAATGGATTACAAATTTCTTGTAATTTTCTAGCTTAGTTCATTTAAGGCTAAATTATATATAAATTTCTTACCTATTGCCAACTAAATAAGGATAAATTCGATGTTTTCTTTATTTTATTCATATTATGACAAAGAATTGGTCTCCATTCCTTCATTATAATTAGAATATAACTCAAATAAATTGTGATTTCACGTGATTAGAGAATGGTAAAAAAAAAGATTAAAAATTGACTTGGAATTTTGTTCATCCTTGAAATATTGTAAATTTTTTTCATCTCATCAAATTATACGACTCAATACCATAAATTTGATTTTTTTTAAGATTTGATTTATTTTTATTGAGGAATTTATCTCATAATTCTTTTTGTAATTATACTAATAGTTTTCACTCTTCAATATTAAGTAAAGAGTTTTTTGTATTAAAAATAAATATTAAGACCGAATAATTATTACCCTATATTTTTAATAATTTTAGTTTTAATACTTTATTTGGACTCTATTCCTGATGTTCTTGTTATTGAAGTAAAAGATGCGACTTAAGCGCCTTTTGCTTAACACTTATTTTGAACCATATCAAATTGATTATTAAGCTACAAAGCCTCCATTAAACAGTAACTCTTATCAAAGTTTTTTGATGAATTCAGTTCGCTTGGTGAATCAGCCTTACCATATCAATAGTTCTCGATCTAGTCTTCCTGTATTTGCAAATCTGTTCTAACCAATATCGCATGTTGCTTTATAGAAGCAACTTGTTTATAAAGAGTAGTACTTACTCTTCTATGTATTGGATATCATAAATTATTATTTCCCTATACTTTATACATAACCTAAACCATCATTTTATTTTTGCATTTTTCATAATTAAGATTAAGCTACGTCTGACGTCAGAAATTTTGGACTGTATATTTTACAAAAAGGTAATTAACGATATCTAACAATTTTATTTGCTCAGATTGGATTTAAGGTTATCCAATTGAATGACAATACAAGTTATTAAATTAAAACTGTTTTACCTTCTAGATTGTAGTTAAAAACATATTCAGTATTATGTCCCTTTAATGTATTAGACTCTTCATGTATAGCTGTATAAATTAAGTGTGCTAATAATATTTTTAGACAGAGTTCTTTTTAATCTTCAGAATTTTGCTTAATCTCACAGTCCTTGTGTCAAAAAGGAAGAAAATTTGATAGTAATTGCAAACCTTTTAAGAATATAGGTAGTCGTACTGTATCAAACCACAAAGTGTGTTGTCGTCTTAGAATTATTATACGATTTGCGGCTGGAGCGTTTATCAAGGAATAATCTCCTAAAATTTAACTGGCAAAACACAATTGTACAAGCACTTTGAAAGAAGAGTTTAAAGTATCCATGATGAAATCCATTTGTTCTCGAGGATTAAATTTTGCGCTACATTTGTTTGCAGTTTTGTGTGGTGTTCATCATCTAGCAACTCCCGAATACAGCATTACCTGATTAACCTCTAATTAGATGCCAATATCTACCAAAATACTTCTCATAACAAGAGCATTAATTAAGAATTTTTTACATCATCAGTTAATATTGCACATTTCGCGAGATATAATTGTAGTTACACAAAACTCACATTATTTAAGCACTAGATTTGTGCTAAACAAATGTAAGAAACATTACTTCATTCATAAGTCAAACTTGATGAAGATTGCTTATGCATCACAAAAATCAGCTCATTCAGCGGCTTATTAAGTTGATGGCTTTTGTTTATGAATTACAAGTTTCAGGAAGCAAACTCCATAGGATTGTTGTAATGAGAACCATTACATAATTTTTTGTCACTAGATATTAATAGATCTTGTAACCAGTAATAGCAACAACAAATGCATTTTTCTGATACAGAATAATAATTATAGCTGAGCAATTTGCATCATAAATATAAATGTCACATAGGGCATTCTTAAATGCATAATATAAAATGCACACATTAATTAATTAGGGTATGCGCTCGAAGATGTACACTTTTAGAATAGGAATATGTATTTAGTATCAAATTGATGTCTTTTAGTTAGCATAAGAATAAAACTAGTGGTAGCGTCCAGTATCTCATTAAAAAGCATACTATTAATAATAAAGTGGACCCCCAATTGTTTCATTCTCGAAAAGTTACCTTTATAAAGGATTTAATAAATAGGAGCCTAAAAAAAAGTTATGGTATCAAAATTGTCCCAGAAATAACTTGGGAAGGTGATAATTGACCATGATTTCTACATAATAAAAAGGTTGGATGATAAGTTTATAAACAGTCACTTCAATTCATGAGTTCATAATATAAAACTGTTGCATTTTCAATCCTTCCTTCAACAGAATTGCAGATCTACAGCAAGAATTGCTAATAACTGTAAATTCATTTATAAATGTGTAATAAGAAGTACAGGCATTAATGTAAACATCAATAAAAGTACCATACAAAAGAATCATTACATTTTGTGCCTTAATGTTGCTTGGTATTGCATATAATTTTCAAGTATTCACTGTATCAGAAGCACTATTCAAGTTCCATAAATTTTTTCTATAAAAGGTTTAGTTGCAGGTAAATTCTAAGCAAGGATTACTATTAAGATGATAACTAAATTGTAAAAATATTACTACTTGCAGTGAAGTTGATGAAGACTAATAAGTCCCTAAAATCTAGTTTAAGACGGAAGCTGAACCAGAATCAATAAAGTATTGAAAGGGTTATTAAATAACCTGGATGGTATTGATTATTNAAATTTGATAGTAATTGCAAACCTTTTAAGAATATAGGTAGTCGTACTGTATCAAACCACAAAGTGTGTTGTCGTCTTAGAATTATTATACGATTTGCGGCTGGAGCGTTTATCAAGGAATAATCTCCTAAAATTTAACTGGCAAAACACAATTGTACAAGCACTTTGAAAGAAGAGTTTAAAGTATCCATGATGAAATCCATTTGTTCTCGAGGATTAAATTTTGCGCTACATTTGTTTGCAGTTTTGTGTGGTGTTCATCATCTAGCAACTCCCGAATACAGCATTACCTGATTAACCTCTAATTAGATGCCAATATCTACCAAAATACTTCTCATAACAAGAGCATTAATTAAGAATTTTTTACATCATCAGTTAATATTGCACATTTCGCGAGATATAATTGTAGTTACACAAAACTCACATTATTTAAGCACTAGATTTGTGCTAAACAAATGTAAGAAACATTACTTCATTCATAAGTCAAACTTGATGAAGATTGCTTATGCATCACAAAAATCAGCTCATTCAGCGGCTTATTAAGTTGATGGCTTTTGTTTATGAATTACAAGTTTCAGGAAGCAAACTCCATAGGATTGTTGTAATGAGAACCATTACATAATTTTTTGTCACTAGATATTAATAGATCTTGTAACCAGTAATAGCAACAACAAATGCATTTTTCTGATACAGAATAATAATTATAGCTGAGCAATTTGCATCATAAATATAAATGTCACATAGGGCATTCTTAAATGCATAATATAAAATGCACACATTAATTAATTAGGGTATGCGCTCGAAGATGTACACTTTTAGAATAGGAATATGTATTTAGTATCAAATTGATGTCTTTTAGTTAGCATAAGAATAAAACTAGTGGTAGCGTCCAGTATCTCATTAAAAAGCATACTATTAATAATAAAGTGGACCCCCAATTGTTTCATTCTCGAAAAGTTACCTTTATAAAGGATTTAATAAATAGGAGCCTAAAAAAAAGTTATGGTATCAAAATTGTCCCAGAAATAACTTGGGAAGGTGATAATTGACCATGATTTCTACATAATAAAAAGGTTGGATGATAAGTTTATAAACAGTCACTTCAATTCATGAGTTCATAATATAAAACTGTTGCATTTTCAATCCTTCCTTCAACAGAATTGCAGATCTACAGCAAGAATTGCTAATAACTGTAAATTCATTTATAAATGTGTAATAAGAAGTACAGGCATTAATGTAAACATCAATAAAAGTACCATACAAAAGAATCATTACATTTTGTGCCTTAATGTTGCTTGGTATTGCATATAATTTTCAAGTATTCACTGTATCAGAAGCACTATTCAAGTTCCATAAATTTTTTCTATAAAAGGTTTAGTTGCAGGTAAATTCTAAGCAAGGATTACTATTAAGATGATAACTAAATTGTAAAAATATTACTACTTGCAGTGAAGTTGATGAAGACTAATAAGTCCCTAAAATCTAGTTTAAGACGGAAGCTGAACCAGAATCAATAAAGTATTGAAAGGGTTATTAAATAACCTGGATGGTATTGATTATTGATCTATATTATCTTGAAAATTAGCGCTGTTGCTAAGAAAGAGTAACTCTTCTCTAAAAGTCATTATTAATGGTTCTTGTTGTGCTGATTTAAGAAGAACCAGAAGTAAATTTATTTATGCTGTTAGAACAAGTTATTAAAAGGTTAGAGCATAGAATGCAATACGCAGACAAGGCTTCATATTGAAATAGTGCCAACAAGTCGCAAAAACAGACAAGATACATATTTTGGTTGCGTCTTGAGTTTTTGAGCCAGGTGCCATTGACTTAGCTATCAATAACCTACAGTCTTCGATATCTGATGCTTTTATCCAAACATTTTCATCCTAATGAAAAAGAGTACCAAAATATGATCAACGTACTGTAAGGATATAGAGCCAATCTCTTCACCCTGATGCAAATGATTTCTTTAAATTATGCAAGAAGATAGAAAACAATATAAGCCTAGGCAACCTTTTGCAAAAGGGATGGACTCTCTGAATCATATTAGGGGTTAGAATACTTATTGATGATTAATATATCTTTTCAGTCCTTTATTCTATCTAATACTTTTAATATCAATTGAAAATAATAAATAACAGGTTATGAAAATATTACCAAGATTAGAGGAGAGTAATTTTAATGTAATTGTTTAGATTATGTCTAATTAAGTTTATTCTTTTTTGAAATGTTATCTTTGTTATTAATTGTATCATTACCTTTTTATACTAACTATTAATAATCGTTATTATGACTAAACCTGTTTATAAATAGTATTAAATTAAGCTTACTGCACTGTTTAGGTTATAAATTTCTAGAAGTATGGTATAAAATTAAATCCTTATATTAATTTTTACCAATTGTTT